CAAAAAAATAGTCGTTTTATAGTCATTGCCTAATGTTTATATGACATTTTTTGTTTTTTTTTGTTTTTGACTGTTGTTTAGTCTCATTTACCCTTTATACAATTTAAGTCATATGGTGTATGGGAGAAAATACCAACTCACAAACGTAAAAAAACATTCACAATTCTCGCTATAATTCATGATTTCGGCTGGTATTCAATTTCGGTTTTTAACAACTCTTATTTCTCATCTCTTTCTCTCTTTTTTTTAAGTATATTTGATTGACTCAGTTACATATTTTTAAGTATAAGTGTATTATTTTTGTATTCTTTAAAAGAAATTCAAAAATATATATGTAAAAAATCGAATTAAAAACAAACTTTAGACCGGTTTGTATATATGTAAAAAAATCGAATTAAGCAGAGTTAGAAACATCCAAGCCTTTCAGAATAAGCTCATTCTTGTTTTGAAAAAATCCACCTGCTTAGCAACGACCCATTCAATTAAAGTTTTATGGTACAAAAACATATTCTTTATGAAATACATGATGCCATTAGCAGCAACATTATCAATTCTAATCAACTTGGCATACAACATCAAGGATGAGGACACCATAGTCTATGCTTAGTCTGGTATTGGTAACAGATGTCTATTACAACATTCAAAAACCATTTATTCGAATTGAGTAGACCTACAAAACCAGAAGAAAAAAGAAAAGATAACAATGAAAATAGTTTGTCCTGGTCCTTCTCATAGGTGAAACTCATTATTTGTTCATCTTGTTGGTTTCAACCATCGGATTTGTAAATAATACATTTAACATCCAATCAAACATTTAGAACGAAATTCTTATACACTTGTCTTACAATAAATGTATCTGATGAACTACATCCATCGGATATAAAGGATTAACATCTGAACCTCAAGCTTAAGGTTTCGGATGTTGAACGTTCATCGGATCCTTAGCTTATAATAAGAAAATTTATAAAAATAGGTTGCTATTTCATACATTTAACCATATAAAAAAAATAAAAACTCGTGTTTAGTAAATGGTAGGAGTATAAGAATATTATGTCCATAACTAGATAATGAATCTATTCCGGAGGGCTGACAGCATGGGATGATTCCAAGAGACCCCACCTTACTTTTGACCTATTTTAAGGTTTGACGAATAAAGTCCCCTTTTTCCCTTACTTCTTTAATAAAGACTTCATTTTACTAGAAAATGCTAACAATAACGATATAATTCATATAATTATTATTTTATCATCATCTAAAAGCAGTAAAACATATTTACTTATCAAATGTTTTTATTAAATTAATAATAGAAACTGATACTCCACATAAAATGGACCAAAAATTTCAAAAAGTTGCCCAATTAAATAAAAGAAAAAGTTTAAGTGAGTGTACGTTTGTCAAATATTTATCTGGTAAGAGTTTACCGATAAAAAAATCGAACATCATCACTTACTTACTGGGTAATATTTCAGTCAACAAAAAGGGAATCGTACGCAATAATTTACCCGGTAAAACAGTAACCATAGTAAAAGTCGTCGCCATCATTTACCGGGTAAGACTTTTGGTTTGTCTCGCACTTACCGGGTATGATTCTTGGTCTTTACCATATTTATCCGGTAAGGTAATATGATTTGGTAAGCACTTATCTTGACGTTTGATAAACAACCCCCAAGGCTCGGTCTAGTTTCACTGCAAAAAGACCAGTTGATCTTCCTTACTAGAAAGATTGGTATAGAGGTTGGAGATCCATAGGTGCTTGGCGATGGAGCTCCAAATGTGTAAAAGCCTTGGTGGAGCATGAAGATGAAAAAGTACATTGAGTTGGAATGATGGTTAAGTGTGTTGATTAATTCTCAACCAACAACTCAATACATACTTGTCTTTCATATTTTCTTCACACTTAAGAGTGCTTTTGGTACACTAAATACTACAATCATTGTTTCATGTATGGCATAATTTTTAAGTGTAAGTTGTAACAGAGTGGAACATACATGTTCCACCCCTCCCCCTTGTAATAAGATGGAACAAACCTATATTTTACCTACATATCTTTAAAATAAAACTTATTTCTCTTCTAAAACATCAAATACGTCTCTATCTTTATATTTTATCCATTTTTTAAATTTTATTCTCTTTAAGGGTATGTTTGATGTCCAAAACATACATGACAATTGTTCAATGTATACAGACAGGACAAAACATGACAATTGTTCAGTGTATACAGACATGACAAAACATGACAATTATTCAGCGTTTAGTAAAACAAAATATAGCAGATAAAATGACATAATTGCCCTTAATGAGTTTTTTATATCTTTACATATTTTGATCAATTTATGTAATTTATTAGATTATAATAAAATAAGATATTTTATTTAAACAAAATATATATTATTCGAAAGTTTATGTCAATACGATTAAAATGACACAAAAATAAAAAATTAATGTAATTTTCAGTTTTTATTTTGTACATTTTCTATATTATCTTGTAATAATTATTATTTAATAAATTACATAAATTAATCAAAATATATAACCGTATAACAATAATATTTTGAGGTCAATAAAGTGAAATTTAAAGAGCATAAAATATAACAAATAAAATTTAAAAGAATGAATAAAATATAAATAGGGAAATGTATATGTTGTTTTAAAAGAGAATTAAATTTTATTTTAAAATTATATTAGTAAAATATAAAAATGTTCCACCTTATTCCATGAATTGGAGGTAGCACATGTTTGTTCCATATAAAAGTTATGTCAAACACAGAACAATGATTCATGTAGTGTGTCCTCAAAATATTATTTTTATATGTTTTCTACATTTTAGTTAATTTATGTATTTTATTAAATATTAATAACTATAAAATGTAGAAAAATGTATAAAATAAAAGGCTAATAAACTTTATATTTTAGCGTAATTATAATTGTCTTGACGAAAACTTTCTATAATACATTTGTTATAAATATATTTATTTTATTAAGTTAATAGACTACATAAATCAATCAAAGTATAAAAAAAATATAAAAACACAGAGGGTAAATTAGTCATTTTACAGGTCAGAGTCCTGTTTTCCCAACATTGAACATCTAGACTGTCAAGTCTTGTCTAGGTACCAAACACATCCTTAGACATTTTTCCTGCATTTTGGAACGCCAACACAAAGCAACATTAAACTCCGACATTTATACCAAATCTTGTGGAGTTGTAGTAAAAGAAGATCAAGTAGATTTTGAAAGAAAAATATAAGATGATTAAGCCAATACTTGAACATTGCAGCATATAGTAAGCATATAAATTCAAATTTCCCTTAGATAATTTGATCCAAAACCATAATAGCCACCGCTAATCTGCACCTCCACACCATAGAGATCCCCATCAATCAAATATGTTGCCACTTCAAAACTTTCAAGTTCAACCACAGCTACTACCACTTCACGACATAACCACCCAATTGCTATTTGTTACCACCATGAAACCACCTCCAACTGCCATAATGACTACCATCACTACCATGGAACAGCCTCCCCCTAAGCACTATCAACTTTGTCAATATCTACATACCCAGAATTGCCACCATAACATTCTTGCCAACCAAATTCCTAAAAACAGAAAGGCAACAATGTGTAGGAGTACTAACTATGTATTAAGAAGTACAAACAAGTAGTTAAACTTCCTTCTGTTTTGTTAATCAAATTCACCCTGAGTTGCGGTTGAATTCATCCCTAATCTTTAGACACGTTCAGTAAGTTGACACGTAGTTATTCTCATGGTCTCTTTAATTCAGAAACATGTAGTTATTCTCATGGTCTCTTTAACTCAGAAACCTACTACACGATGAAAGCCACAGAATATCGCCATCTTTGACCGTATAAATGACTTAAATCTTGTTCGCATTTCTACACCACATTTCTCATCTTTTGTTTGACATTCGTCCGTTAGTACTACTCTACTAGTTGGAGATGGAAGAAGCAGACAAAAGATGAGAACTGGACCTAGAAGTAACCATGCAAATTATGCTTTTTTCTACAACCTTTATTTATTGGGTATCTTCAAAGCTCGAATCTCCTGGACCCCCACCTCGGTCAAATGCTTTTCAGTCCAACCTTGCTGAGAATCTCCATTTTTTTTAAAGTCAATCTATCTATAATGCAGCAGCATCCTGTGTCTGTGTCAGTATGTGCACCCATCAAAGTGACTACAGATGATATCTAAACATGGCCACAGTCTATGAAGAAGATCTTATCCGAAATCTGCTGGCACTGCCAAAAGCATATATTAAGGCTAATCATAGTCACTTGTGATTTGAGTAATATACTCTGTTATCCAGCATCTTATCCTTCCTTGTATCTCTTCATAAAAAGCTTGCTTATTTATCCACGCAAACAGAAACCAGATCTATGTTTACACAATCCAAAATCTTTAACCAAACTAATAAACCTATCAGGAATTAAGAAATTTATGCATCAATACAGTCAAAAAAACATAAAGTAACATGTGTGTATACGTATGGGTAACTGGCAGAATAAAGGACGGGTTTTTATGTGTGTGCATGGTATCTCACCCAAGGGGCAGGAACCAAGTTGACGTTCAATTAAGTTTGAGGGGGAATGGAATAAAGTAAGAAGCATCAATTATAAAAATAGGAACGGGAGGACAAATATTCTCTAGTATCTGGAGTGACCCCATGGGGTTATCAAGCATGTTCAGTTTGTTCTTAAAAATTAAGGAGTATATGCATTATGCAGTCAAGTATTCAAAGAGATTGAGACCTTAAATCGTGCAGCCCAACGCAAACTCGTCTTAAGGAATCGGTCGCTTTCAGTTCTCAGGTTGGATCCACCATTTTAACTCCAACTATATTTTCTTTAGTACCGTGTCATAGACCAGGATAACGGACCAGAATGCGCTTCCGGCTTGCGAGTCAGCCCTGCATGTAGATATTCCCATGAAAAGTTGGATCCGGTTTATAAAAAAGACTTGCCTTTTCTGGGTCCAATAATGCTATAAATACGTACCATGGACGTTCCTCCATTTGCTCGTCAAGCCATCTCAACATTTCTTCTCCTACAACTATAGAGAGAAACTCTGCTGTACCAACATTGAAGCTGACAGCATAATGGATCCTTCAGAGACTCTAAGGTAACAAGCACAAAACGACACTTCCTCTCGCACACACATATCGTCAGTCTGCATGCTTTTAGTAGCATGCATATATATCAAGAATCATGTGGCACTGGCATTCAGTTAATATATAATCAGCAACATTATGTGTTAAGATGCTTCAGTCAACAAGTATCATAAAGAATATATAACACTATCTGGTATACATATATATATATATATATATATGAGTGTGTGTGTGTGTGTTAATCATAACAACCCTACACGAATATCTTACCACGTATTATTTTGTCCAGGAACAAGTGTGCAGCCTGCTATAGGCAGTTCAACAGAATGGAGCACCTAGTGGAACACATGAAGACCTCATATCACTCTGTGCATGAGCCCCTGTGCGGAATCTGTGGAAAACGCTGCCGATCATTTGAATCTCTTCGCGAGCATCTTATAGGTATTATATGTTGCATATCCATTAGGGTGGTGCACACCAAGACCATTGACTTTCTGGTCACAAATGAGTTACAATCTTACCGGTTGCTCTACTGCTTAAGTCTGGTATGATACGACTTTCTGGTCATAATAGTTTCTTTTTTCCCAGGGCCACTGCCGAAGGCAGAATGTGAAAGGGTGTTCCGGGACCGTGGTTGTAGCATTTGCCTAAACATCTTTAGCAGTCGCAATGCTCTCAGGGCTCACCGAGATACATGCCAACTATCATGCGGAAATAATGTAATAAATCATCTCTCTTAAAAAATTATCTATTTTATGGATATTATGTGTGTATGATGATGGAATTCCCTTGAAACTTATTACTCCAGGGCCTATTACACCGATTCGCTAACTTAGGCATCCAAGATGACCTGAGAATTGACAACGGGAAAACAAGAGCAGTTGCACTTGCCTGCAAAATGGTTGGTGGCGGTAGTGATGGTTCCTTGGATCTCTGTGCAAAAGTCTGCATCATTGACGAATATGAGAACATACTATTCCGATCCTATGTCAAACCGTACCTTCCTGTTACTAACTACAGGTATCCTTTTTGCCTTCTCATCCTATTTGTTTGAGGACCATTAAACAGTTCTGCAAGTATTACACAAATTCTTGATACGAGTTTCGTTGGTAGTTACTCCTCGTACAATCTTCTATTAACATAAGTTCTGAAAATTCCTAGGTATGAGACAACAGGCATTCGTCCAGAATACCTCAGGGATGCACTGCCACTTAGGCAAGTCCAAAGGAAGATTCAAGATTTCCTATGCAATGGAGAACCCATATGGAAGATCCGGCCAAGAGGTGGAAAAGCAAGGATTCTTGTAGGGCATGGTTTGGACCATGATCTGAAATGCTTGGAATTGGAGTACCCGGTGGTTAAAATAAGGTAAGCACTTTCTTGTAGATTATCACATACTTTCTCTCAAGTTAACAAGTGATCCAAAATGATGTTCAAATGCACTGAATTTTCATATAGGGATACAGCAAACTATCCACCCTTGATGAAGACTAGCAAGCTCAGCAACTCACTTAAGTATCTCACAAGAGCATACCTTGGGTAATCTTTGTTACATATACATTTAACTACAAAAAAAGATACCAAGTAAAATAATGAATGTTTCCTTTCACAGCTATGATATTCAAATTGGCATACAAGACCCTTATGATGACTGTGTTGCAACGATGAGGCTTTACAGGAGGATGAGATTCCAGGCTCATAGAAACGAGAACTATCCTCTTGCTACAGACCCACAAAATAAGAATAACTTTGCTTCATGGAGACAAAGTGAGCTTGAGAGGATGAGTCCTGATGAACTATTGGCAATATCAAGGTCTGATTACTACTGTTGGTGCTTAGATAACAAAGACTAAGTTTAAACAGATTGCAAGGATTGGGAATCCAGAGTGTAGCAGGTGGAGTCAATGGCTACATTAAGCTAATAAATCCATGAAATAATTGGATATGAATAGAAATAAGACATGGAAATTTATCCATGTTTCAAGTGGGTGATAGTAGAGAGATTATGCATAATATGAGGCATAAGGCTATATGAATTAAGCCTTTCATTAGAAGTTATTAGACGGAAATATTAGTGACACCATGTATGTTGATTAGTCTTTAATAGATGCTTCTTTCATTTTGAAGGACACTTCCATATCAAAAGGGTGCAGCTCACATGTATGTATGTGTAAATCTTTGCTCATAAAACTTGTGAGATGTAATAAAAGATTGTACTGCTTAATATATATGGGTTTCCATTTTAACAGAAGTAAACCAAGATAAGAAATTTCACTTGACTTGAACATGGGTGGAAGTATTAATACTATAATACATGCCTTCTGTGACAAAGTGCAGAGATCTAAATCTGAATCCTACAAACCGCATGTCGTAGACAGTCATGAGTCAAAGAAAATGTCCAAATCAGAAGAAAGTATTTAATTGTTCTTAGTGTTTTTGGTTTTCATTCAAGAGAGTTGCAGATATAACCATTTGTTCGACAGTTAGAAGCATTATCTTATCATATATACATAACCCTTTCTTCTAAGAAGCAAATCCCTATTCCAGTGAGACCTCTTTCCGAATAAATTGAAGTTAAGTTTTCCTAGAACATCATGCAATTGTTCTTATGAAGCACCTTCATTGTGTTCCAAGCAGTCACATTTATTCAACAGATAAGCAACCTTCAATAGCTAGAATCTAGGTCGAAAAAACCTCACCAAATCATGTAGACTATTGATGGGACTGACAAATCTTGAAACGCCACCCAAATCAACTACATGTACTGACTAGTGATCAGTCCAACGTCAAACTATTTCTAAATAAACAAGTCCTTATCAACTGAAGCTGATGCGTTTCCTTTGAACTTGATTTGCAAATTAATGTCCATTATTAAATACTGTTTTAAGGAAAGTTGTCATCTTGAGCTTGACATTGAGTAGAACACTTGGAATGCACTACAAATGGCACCACCGCACCACCATCTGGATCCATTTTAAGCTTAATAGAACTAACAAGAACTTTTCAGTAAAGATAATGAAAACTCCATGACATACAGGTAGAAAGAACAAAAGAGAGAATTACCTCAATAACCTGATGATCAATTACTTAATGAATTTTTGACACTAATTAACGTTCTTCAGTCCAGTAAGCAGCTGCAGTTGGCTTGATCGAGATAGTGAATTCGTTATCAGTCATCAATCTCCACAAATTCAAGTAGCAAAAAGATGTTTCCCCATTTTTTAAAAAGAAAACTAATTGACAACCTCTGAGATTGCGTACATCTGAAAAATGGTTTTACCAGTTGAGATAACATATCTGGATTCACGTCTTGTGGTATAAAAAATATTTTAAGCATACAACAATACAAGGAATAAGAAATAGACACCCATTATCCATACCCAGTTCAAAATTATACTCCCATATCCGGTTCATCCCCGACAGAGATCCATAGATATCGAGGTGTATAGACAAAAATGTTACAACATTAACAATATAGTACCCTCAGGGAGTAGCACAGTTGATTCTAAGATGGTGTACTTGCAAAAACACACAGTAACATTTAAGACTAAAAGCAAATCAATAAGATTATGTTTAGCTTCACATTCACAATGGCTTGCTAAAGAATTGGCGTGCCTCGTTGTACTGTTTCAAGACTATGTTGCAAAGAGGGTTAATTGGTTCGAGGAGATTAGAGTAGGGACCCAACACTGAGCGCGGCAACGGTGGAGAATCAGCATCTTTGGACCAGCTATACTGGGCCGCGGCTAGACCACTTAGACAATAACAGGTGTGATAGTGGTCTCTGTTCTTTCCCGGTTTGTCTCTGAACCCTCCCTCCACCTATACCAACAAATGATCTTTCAATCCAGATAATAAAAGAAAGAAATACTTTCATACACTTTTGACAATACTTTCATACACTTTTGACTTTCCAGGTCAAATCTAGAATTTCTCAAAATCAAGATTCATGTGGATTTTGAATACAAATTCACTTCTCTACTTCTCCTAAACTTAAAAGATATCATGTCAAGTTTGAAATTGAAATTTAGTTCGTTTGGCCTCAAAGACAAACGTGGGACTAATAAAGATTAAAATTGAAGCTTACCTGTGAGCATAAAAGAATATATTGCTGCAAAGCATGGCTCTGGAAAATAGGCTCTGCTTCTATATGTCTTTGGGTGAGATTAAAAGGAATACTTGATGAATTAGCATGATCAATGCCACTATCTCGTCCTGCATCTACACACATGCATACATAAATATAAACACATACAGATATATATATATATATATATATAGAGAGAGAGAGAGAGAGAGATAGATAGATAGATATAGAGAGAGTCAACAGTTCACATCTAGAGTGCGTTTAGTATGCAGACGGGGGCCACGGGACTGGACAAGCAAGAGTGAGGAAGGTGGGTGAAAGAATTGTGCAAGGTTTTGAAATTTGACATGGGTAGTCTAGTAATTTACCAATCTAGTCCCACCTCCCTAATTTTTGTTCCACATAATTTATTGGGAGAAAAAGGGTCCATTTTTGTCCCACTCAGTCCTGTCCTATCCCAGTCTAACATTGCACCAAGCATCGGACAACAAGTTTCTATATTGTCACGTCCTGTCCCATGTACCAAATACACCACTAAAGTACTGAAGATCTCCATACAAAACAATCTTTAGAAGCAAATATGGATGGTGGGGGTGGAAACTTTCAGCAGTCAACAAGTCACCAAATGCGGTTTTATGACATGCACTATCTAAACCACCATTTGAGTGCTCGCTGCAAAGAATTTCAAGTGACTGCCATCTGTTTCGTATACGTTATGGTTATCAGAGCTAGTCAAAAGTTAGTTTACCTTCCTCCACATCAGGGGAAATCTCAGCCATACCCGAGGAAGTTCCCTCCAGCAACTCTTCATCATCGGAAAATTCAGATGATGTGAAACTTTCATTGCTTCTCACACTACTGTGCCCTTCACCAGCAGCTGCATGTAATCTTTGTATCAACACAGCAGCTCCTCCCTAGTCAAAGCCTCTCCCATTAATATAATTATAAAACCTGACAATTGAAAATATGCGACAAGAAACTATTCCTAAACCTGCCAGAAGGAATAGCAACCATCAACCAATTTATTTGTCCTCCCCTGGAAGCCACCTTCCACTCCTTGTCTAAAAACCAACCAATCCTGGTTCAATAGACAACAAGTATAATCACAAACATCTCAATCACACATTACCACAAAAAGGGCAACTTAAGTTGATGCGGCGTGAGAGATTTAGATGGTCTTACAGTTAAACTAGCCAAGTCCAAACGATTAACCTCGTTGACCAAAATCATTGTGGCCAACCCACAAAAGGTGTACCTGCAGGAAAGTAATTGGGGTTGTGGGGTTTCCAGGTTAAGTTTAGTTTATATAACATTAAATAAAATTGAATTTTATAGTCATTTGTGGTTAAAAGAAACCAAGCTAATCAAATTCAGCATAGGGGTACAATTCACTGGCAAACTCCTGATAAAGATCCAAGTCCTTTAACATGGAACATACCCACCATGAGCTTCTGAACCTGGTTCACCAGCAATTCCACCTTCATAAGTCTGACAGCTGCATGAACAATGACAAACGGTATAAACCTGTTAGTCCTAAATGGTACAAAAAGAAATCTGGATGACATTCAAAAATGTAACAGAGCTATTTAGGGGATGGATGTTTTATGAAAGAAAGATCAATTTGACTAGATGACTGGTTCACACTATAAGTTTTATCAATTGATATCGATGATTTGCTCGAAAGCATTGAATAAAATAATTAAGTTCCCGAGAATAGGGTTGTCAAATGATCCCCATACTTTAGGGAGCGATATACAAAAAGTTTACTTTCTAACACGATACAGAAAGTAAGCATAGACCAAAAGATGCCACAAATTTGATATAACTCAGATTTCGGTAAATTTCATAGAACATAGAGAAAAAAACCACAGTGGCAGCAATAAACTTTACATCAGATGTCACAACCCTGAAAAGTAGGGTGTGACGAAAAAGAATGTAGTTTTTACACAAATTAGTTCAATGCTATGCAGCGGATCTATCAAAATCCATATTATTTCTTGTGTGCTTCATCCAAAACCCCCACATAGGAACACATTCATTGCAATTTTGATAACATCTATCGCTCACTAATTGATATTGTCAGAAGATCATCTAGCAGAAGGCAGAATTAGTTCCTCTTACTAATTGCAATCAATTAAAGAAATGAAAAGGTTGAATAAGAGCAACCTTAAGATGTAATCACCCACACCTTGAACAAGATCTTCATCTAAAATATTTAGAGCACAGGCAACCTAACATCAAGAATAAGTATTAACTATTAGTTAATGACCACCATCAACCTTGAAATAAACTTCTGTTACTATATAATTGGTTTTAAGTATTGACACATAACATATAAAAAGGTAGCAGACTTATTGGTTATCCCAAGTGGTAAAGGCCCCTCCTTTTCATGTAAGACCATGGATTCAAACCTTAAGTCCTCAACTCACCTCCCTTATATATAGAGAGGGGGGGTTCGAAGAGAGAGAGAGAGAGGGAAGAGTGAGTTGGTGACTTACAGATATGGCAGTGTAACAAGCACGGACATCTACTTCCCCACCATCATGCATACTGAATGAAGTGAACATTCAGACAGCTTATTAATTGGATATACAAAATCCTTTGATCAAACATGCTTAAAACAATTTATATCTGAAAACCTGCTGTACCTGAATCCTCCACTTGTATGTTTCATTCTTCGCAAAAATGAGTAGATCTTGACTCTGGAAATGAAAGAATTTTGTATGAAATGCCATGAGAATGTCACAAACAAAAGATACTCCTTCCATTCTAAAAATAAATGAGCTCTTTACTTGATATGTAAGAATTATATTATTTTGATATGCAAACCACAAGACTCATTAAATTTGAAAGAAACAAATGGCGACACTAGAATCGTATAGGTTGTATAGACTAAATTGAGCTACATTATAAATGAAAGTTGATATAAAGAAACAAATTTTGGATGTAACTCATAACTCATTTAATGATTATCAAACTGAACTTATGAAGAAAATATGGAACTGCTGTTTCTTTCTAATGTTCAAAATCAACTACAAAAAGAGGTGCAGGTATCATCTGAAAAGTTGAAAAAACAAAAGCCTCGTTAAATTCAGGACATAACCAAAAGCCCAAAAGGGTCTTTAAATTGGGATAGAGGGAGTAATAAATTCCAGCATAACACAAAAGAACCACCTGTTAATTGATCCCAAAGATCTATGGCCACCTAAGGTGATAAGTGAATTAACAGCAGCATAAGTCGTTGCAAGATGCGGCATCTGACAGTAGTAGCAAATGTTAGCAGTTTTCATATGAAAATTAACTCTAAATGTATCTATTGTACACCATGCACTACAAGACTACAATAATTGCTGGAATAAAGAAACTACAATCAAGAAAATTTTGCCTTCTTCAGCATGATATGACTTCCTCCCAAATGTCAATTTGGGAATTGGGACAGAAGTGTTGGTCATTGTGATGGAGTTATTGATCCCCTTAAATTCTCAACTCAAACAATCTTTTCAAGCCAAGAAAATAGATGATATACATCAGACAATGATTCTACTATCCACATAGTATGGGTATAATACATTTAAAATAGTATCGGTTAAGCATCATGACTGAAAAGTAACTTGCCTGCCCAGGTCCCCCACCATATCCACCATGTTGATCCTGAGAGAATTATGTGACAAGTTTTGCAATTAATAAACTTATACAATCCCCTGGACTAAAATTATATGTACGAAAACGTTTATCAAGACTCAAGTTGCAAACATAATCCAATAGCAGGACTCTGCAAAGAGACGGTTAAAACTGTTAACCTGGCACCGACTTATAAAGTGGATGGCGTTATGCTCCAAAGCATCATCAACGGACTCTCCCAGTAAAGCAATAGAGTGAAGGATCCAGTAGCAAATCCATGGCCGACTGGAAAGAAGCAATGCTGTGAATAAGTGACAATATAAGAAAGAATTCCTACATCTTACCATCAACGCACAAAGAGACAGAGTGAAATACTTGGCATCCAAGACGGAGAATGAAGGACCGAGATGCCGGAGACCTTTCATGAGGTACTCGATGTGGTTATCACGTTGAAGCTCTAACCTTCACACGGATCCAATAATACATCAATTAACCAAAAAAGAGGATGTAGCAGGAATTAGGGTTTAAGTGGGCTTACATAACTGCTTGGGACTTGGGGGGAATATTACAGAAGAGTTGATAGATGTGAAAAACTTGGCGTTCCAATATCCACTGTTCTTCCTGGCTTACTGTTGGCTTCCATTCCGGCGACGACGACGAAGGCTCCATACCGATCATCCGATACACTCCGTCTCCCGTGGCCTGTTTGTTTATGACCGGCCTAGTCAGAGAGATCTCCAACAGATTCTTCCAGGAGATTTTGTGGATTTTCTCTAAAACACATAACTTAAATTTGAAAGATTGCTTAAAAATAATTAATATGAGAAATCTATTTCAAATAATATAATTCGTATTATAATCTTTGAAACTAATAAGGTTGTTATATATATCTTATTTTATGAATTTTGATTCTTTATTTTAAATAATTTGAATCATAAATCCTATCCTGATTGATTGTAGAACTACACCAAATTTCTACAATTTTACATTTATTACTATTTAAATGTTTTATTTACGATATTAATTTTAATTTATTTTGGTGGTTGTTTATCTATAGAAATTGGGTGAGGGTGGTTATTACCAAAACAACATTTCAGTAGGATCAGTTTTGAGGTTTTTGATATCCTATGTGGATATGGTAAAAATGCCTCATTGTTGGGTTTTTTAAGCAAACAAAATCTAATGTTTTCTACAGGTTTTGAAACTTAGTTACGCAAGACGGTTCATCCTCACGCCGAATAAATCAAAACAGTTAAACCAAAAGGGATGAGGAACAATATGAATCAGTTTGGTTGTTCACTTGTTTGATGACTATATTTATGTTGTCTTTCTTTAACAAAATTTGTCGCTTAGTTGATGCGCATGACGGCTTGGTCTCGTTGTTTACAACCCAAATAATTAAACCATAACTGATAGTGATAACACATAAAAACTTGATATTCATTGGGTTTATGACGCCTTGTACGATCACACTAGCTGCACTTGGTCAGGGTTGGGTCTGCATCTCAATCAACGATAGTATGAATAAATAATACTATTCTTATTAGGTCAACACCGTATACTAAGTAAGAAACAATAAATAGTTTAGTTAAAACCCCTTATATTTAATATTAAATGGTGTCTAAACATGTCTTCATATCGAACAATAACTTATGTAGGTGTCCACTTGTGATACAAGCTAATGCAAATACAAAGATAGTCCAATTTTATCTTAGTTTTATGTGATCTTTTTTTTCCAGATTAACCTGGATATTCAACCCGCTATGTAAGCAAATTAATCCCAAAACAACCATCTGCTTTGCAGGTAGCCCTGAGCCATCACGTTTTAACCTTCGTGAGCACAAAGGGATTTTTATTCCTCATTTGATTTAAACATGAGACCTCGAAACACTTTTGACCTTTAAAGCCCAAACTTAAATCAATCAGACACCATCTACTTGTGATTAATATTATTTACACCCCTGACTTTTTTTTTTTTTTGTAAGGGTGTCCGGGCCAAAGCCCAACTAATCATCGGCAATTTTGGAGGCTAAACATGGCCCCTCTTAAATATCGCCAACACTCCCCTCCCAGGGCTCGAACTCGGGTTCATGACTATGTCATGCCCAAGCCTTACCACTAGGCTGGAAGGTCTTTGACTACACCCCTGACCTTGCATGCAAAGATAAATAATTAATTGATAAGTTGAAAAACATGGTTGCAAAGATAAAATATATGAGTTAAATTTAATTAGAATGAGTTGCTTTAAAGTTCAAATACAAAAAAAGTTTGTTATTAATCAACGAATATTTGTTATACGAGATAAAAATCTGAATTTTGAATATAACTTGACGGTTTTGGATAACCAAGTGTAAGGTGTCATTTACCAAACGCTTACCCGGGTAAGCCTTACCAAGTCACTTTACTTTACCGGATTAATATGGCAAAGACTAAGAATCTTACCCGGTAAGAGCAAAGACAATAATCGAGAGTCTTACCTGGTAAGTGAGGACGACCACTCTAACCATGGTTAGCACTTACCGGGATTAAATTGTTGCATACGATGCGTTTTAGTGAATCAAATCTTACCCGGTAAATACAAGATAGTGTTAAATTTTACCGGTAAGTGCTTACCGGGTAAGTATTTAGGTAAACAACCCCTAAAAGTAACTAAATGACTTAAAACTTTATTTTGTTTTCAATTTGGACAATATTAATCATTCAAAAATAATTAGGATGGCGTTTGCTTCATGAAATGGAATATGTCAAAGGAATTGAAATCTAATAGAATTCCAATGGAATTTAATCATGTTTGATCTTGTGTTTGGTTGACAAAAGTTGTAACGGAATGTATAAAAAATAATTTTTTTGTATGTTTTGTTCGTTGAATATAATAGTGGTGGGGGTGAAGGCAATAGTGGTAACGGTGAATATGACAACAATGGTGGTGGTGGTGATAAATATCATGGTAGGATTAAATGATATTCAGTAAATATAAGAGTATAAGGGGACGTTTGGTTCGCATAATGAAGTTTGACGGAATAGAAATCCATCTAGGAATTTGACTTTAAAGGAATGTGAATGAAATTTAATGGAATCTGACCATTGAATTGTTAAGGAATTGGAATATTTGGGATTTTCCATGGAATGGTGAAATCTTTATATATAAAGAATTCAATGGAATTCAAATAATTCGTACATTTTCAACATGTGAATTAAACATAAGAATTGGAATTTAGTCAAAAGAATCATCCATTACAATTTCTTCAAAATCCATGAAACAAACACCCTCTAACCAAGAGTATCGAGATAGCATCATGAGAATTGAGTATTGAGGTATTGGTGAATTGTGGTTGACTTTGAGATATCTCACATTGGTGAGAGATTGAAAGATTGGAATAAGAAAGTGTGTATAAGAAAGAAATATGAGATTAATTGTGCCAACTAATGAGACTTAACTCATAAAGTTATCTTACTTGAATGACCCTATTTTTGCAAGACAAACTTTATGAGGTGACATCATGAGAATTGAGTATTGAGATGTTGGTGAATTGTGGTTAAGTTTGGGATATCCCACATTTGTTTAGAAGAGAACTTTAAATTTTAGTCTATAACATTTCTTTTGAAGATGGTTTTATCGTCACCACACAACGTGTAGTCGCCTTTTTCTTAAAAGATGAAACGCAGGAATCAAAGATCCTTGTTAGGACCAAATAACTTACATTCCACCGTATGTGGAATTCAAATTCCTTGTCAAATCTCAAAAAATAAACCAAACATGAAAATAGAATTTGATCAATAAAATTAACCATTTCAATTTTTTAAATTCTACCGAGTTACAAGGAATCAAACAACATCTAAAAAGCATGAATTTTTAGATCAGCCACCTACATTATTGAACAATTGATAATGACACAATAGTTTGATTTTTTTTTTTCTTAAATTTTTGACCTGTCATTTTAGAAAAAGTAAATTTAAATTATGTTGGAACCATGAATGTGAGTTTGTGACAAACGTAGTTGTCGATTTTTCTATTAATCCACAGCCTCAGTTGGCCGCCTCCACCACTACCAGCCAAGAGTATACCTAATAATAGATTGGATCATCATATGTCTCTTACATAAAATATATATGCTTTGATGTCCAATTATTAATGGCAAAATTGTACGATCTTACCATTATGACACAATAGATCTTTAAAAGTTTGCTTGAAGTCTGTTGCGTCTTGGAAGAAGATAAACACCAGGGGACATGGCCCCCGCCAGATGGCACCATCGAGCAAATTTGGGTCTCTAACTAACTTACACGAGTATGTACTTTATACTTTTTAACTCGTATTACTTAAGTATCAACTCATTCATTCTCTTGTGAATCCAATTACATATAAATAGCATGACGATTCATTAAAATTTTAAATCTCCTTTTTGTAGTGTAAAAAAATTGTAATAGCGATAGACATATTCAATGTAATTTTTTTTAATAATCATATTACATATTTAACCTGAAATATTTTGATTCGTCATAAACCATATATTTTTTTTTTCTATTTCAGATAAATACCATGTATATAGTCAAACAATCTAGCCTTAGACAATAATGATAATTGCATTTATTGGCATATCATGGAAACCAATTCGATCTTTTCAACCTTTTGGAATTATTGACTCATGAGTATTCAATTATCCGAAGGGGTGGGCTAATGGCACCCCATGACTTACCATCGGCACCCCTACATAGCTTTCGTAATGATTTGCTTTATGGTTTTTTGTGTTTTGTTATACTTTTGTTATTATTTAATTAATATTTATTATTTATTTTATTTTTAGTTTTTTATTTATTTATATTATATTTTAATTAATATAGATTATTAATAAATATATATTATTTATTTTATTTTCTGTTTTTTATTTGTTT